CCTTAGACAAAAATGACGACTGTTTCATGTATCTATGTGCACATTTCCCAGCTTTTTCAGAAGCAAAACTTAAAAAAGAGATTTTTGTTGGGCGTCAGATTAGGAAATTAACTTTGGATGAACAGTTCGAAAGGACAATGAATAAACTTGAAAAAGAAGCGTGGATTGCCTTTAAAGATGTTATTGACAAATTTTTAGGAAACGACAAGGACCCAAGTTATGAAAGTATTGTGAATAACATGCTCGATAAATTCAAAGAGTTGTATTGTAATATGAGCTTGAAAGTTCATTTTCTACTTTCACATATTGACTATTTCCCTGAAAGAACAAGGGGAAACGTTTCATCAAGACATCTGGGAAATGGAGAGGAGGTAAGGGGTTGTTATGACAGTGGAAGTCACGTGATGCTGGTAACACGTAATGAATATATAGAAAGTTCCTGAAGGCTCGAGACGCCCTCCATTTTGTATATATAAAGCTGGCAAATAAAGCGGGGGAGATAATTGAATAGCAGACAGGGAGATAGAGACAGATAATCGAGTCAAGCCGTAAGTAAAGTGTGTAAATCATTGTGAATTATAGCGTGTGTTTAAATTATAGCGTGACTGTGGAAATAGTGTGTATTGCAAAGTTGTATTGAGAAAGAATAAACTAGTTTTATTTAAGAAAGGACTTGTATCGCTAAAGTTTCATTCGAAAGAAATTATACGGGAAATTAACAAACGACCAGAGACGTAACAGGGTGTTGCAAAATAAATCACACTTTTTTTTGAAGTAGTGACGAACTTGGTAGAACCACGAATATCATTACTCGTGAGAAAACGTCATTTCAACACACTCTTGGGTGTTTGACTCTTTAATTTTTTTGCAAAAACTTTTGAATCATGGTGCTCACTAGAACTCAGGTTTGTTTTGCATGTGCTGCCTTTGGTATGGCTCAACAACTAATCACAGACATGCTCCGAGAATTTAAGTCTTCCAATCAACAAATTGCAATGTCAGATTTGAAAAATCCGATTAATGCTTCAAAAGTTTCAGAATTGTTGAATTTGAAAGAGTAGTCCATGAAAGAGTGGTGGAATGTGGATTGAGAACTCTCCAGATTTAAGTTCTGTCAAAAATGTCAGAGCTTTCATTCAACAATACACAGAAGAAATGTTTGAAACATTGCCTGAATGCAAGAGAGACAAACATGAAACCTTGATTCGTGTTCTCACTGATGTGCTCATAGAGACAGCCACAAAAACAGACATGTTTGTTGCATTGCAGAAATCTTTTGTAAATCGATTAAAACTCGTGCATGAAAACAATGGTGGCCCAATCAAGCGATATTGATACTTGGAATTACTTTTTTGATTGATTTAAAATCTCATTTTACTTTGTTATGCTCTCAAGGAAAAAAGTGTGATTTAATTTGCAACACCCTTTATCAGGGAAGGTGGGAAATCAGCATGATGGCTGATTACTGCTGGTCATTGAAATGAGATGCTCCAGATGCAATACATAAAAGAAAGACCACAACATGTAGTTTTGAGACTAAAAGATGTATATTTCACAAAAAAATAAGGATGAATGAGGATGCATATTTGTTTGAAATCAATGTTCTTTCCCTTTTCTTCAGCTTCTTTGTATTTTTGTTAATAAACATAATAATGTTGCATCATCGAGATCATGTGATTCTCACGCCCTCAACTTTCTAGAACTATCCCGTATCTTGGCGAATGCTCTAGTATTTACTAGATAGGGTAGGCTGGTATATATAAGAGGGGGAAAACGTGACGCGGGAAGGTAATGTAATGTGTGTGTGAAGATAGTGAGTAATTGAACTGCAGTCAGAAGTATTATTGACGTTCGTTGATATAGCGTTTGTTTTAACGCGATTGTTGAAGTTGAATGTATCGGTAAAGTTATATTCGGAAGGAATAAATCAGTTTTATTAAGAAAGGACTTGTGTCGCTTAAGTTTCGTTGGAACGAAGTTACGGAAAATCAATTAACAAACGGAGACGTAACAAATTGGTGTCAGAAGTGGAACAAAAAAAATGGAAACGAGAGACGGAAAATCAAACTACAGCATAGCAGACTTGATGGCAGCAATACAAGAGCACGAAAAGAAACAAGAAGAACGAGAAAATGAACGAGAAAAGAAACAAGAAGAACG